TGGCTAGAGAGAGAGAGAGAGAGAGAGAGAGAGAGTCGACACTGCACTTGACAGCCTTATTTCCCAAACTGTAAACATAATCACCTAGTCACACCTGACAAAACATAACATACCTTGACTAATCTATGTCACTGACCTGAGTAACATCCAAAAATGGCGGCTGTATGGTGTTGAGACTCACTCCTGTAATAAGAAAAAAATATATATAATTTTTTTATATTCCGAAAAAGTTTACATACAGTCGAGAAAGTATATATTTACACGGGGCAAAATACTTCCCACTGGAGAAATTTCAGCTGGACTAAATCCTTACCATTTGTCCTTTTAAGAGTTTGAGCCGTGGGATATAAACATGTGTCTGCCTGTCTGTCTGCCTGTCTGTCTGTCTGTCTGTCTGTCTGTCTGTCTGTCTGTCTCTCTGTCTACGATTTTATTGCTTTCATGCTATTTAGTCGTTCGTAAATATGGAGATAATGAATGGAGACAGACAGACAGACAGACAGACAGACAGATTGAGGGACAGACGCAAGGATAGACAGGTAGACAGATGAAAAGACAGATACAGTAGATAGACAGACACGAGAACAGACAGATAGAAAGGCACAAGAAAATATAAATAGATCCAAGGGAAGATGGACAGAAGTAGGGAAAAACAGACAGACAGACGCAAGTATAGACAAACAAATAACAAATATAGACAGACGCAAGAACAGACAGACAGACAAGAAGACGCAAGACCAGAGGGACGCAAGGACAGACAGACAGACAAGACCAGCGCAAGACCAGACAGAGGCAAAGAACAGACAGACAGACAAAAGACGCAAGACCAGAGGGACGCATGGACAGACAGACAGAGAGACAGACAGACAGACAGACAGACAGACAGAAAAAAGACACAAGGCCAGACAGACAGACAGACAGTAACTAGCCTTCTCTTCTGGGAATATCAAGGTAGTTTAAGCTCAGCCCATCCGAGATTGATGAGTTGGTTGGGACATTTTTACCTCACAAAATGTTATATGTTTTCGCGTTCTGTCACTCAGTAATCGTTTATCCGTCTCTCAGTACTCGTCAATCGTCTCCCAGTACTCATGATTCGTCTTTCAGTACATGTTATCCGTCATTATCCGTCTTTTAGTACATGTTATCCATCATTATCCGTCTCTCAGTACTCGTTATTCGTCATTATCCGTCTCTCAGTACTCGTTATCCGTCATTATCCGTCTCTCAATACTCGTTATCCGCCATTATCCGTATCTCAGTACTCGTTATCCGTATCTCAGTACTCGATATCCGTCTCCCAAAACTCATTATCCTTCTGTCATTATACGTTATCCGTCTCCCAGTACTCGTTATCCGTCTCTCAGTACTCGTTATCCGACTTTCAGTACTCATTATCCGTATCTCAGTCGTCGATATCCGTCTCCCAGTACTCGTTATCCGTCTGTCATTATACGTTATCCGTCGTTATCCGGCTCTCAGTATTCTCTCATTATACGTTATCCGTCGTTATCCGTCTCTCAGTATTCTCTCATTATACGTTATCCGTCGTTATCCGGCTCTCAGTATTCTCTCTTTATACGTTATCCGTCGTTATCCGGCTTTCAGTATTCTCTCATTATACGTTATCCGTCGTTATCCGGCTTTCAGTATTCTCTCATTATACGTTATCCGTCGTTATCCGGCTCTCAGTATTCTCTCTTTATACACCGCTGTCATTAGCACATTTTTGGGGCATTTCTCCATGAAGGTTTTCGTTTCTTTACTGTTCGTGTCTCTTTTCCTTTCGTTCATTGACGTTTGAGTGATGGGACTTGTTTCTTGCGTCTTGTTCTTTGATTATTTATTTGATCTGGTCAACTTGAATTACTGGAGAGAGAGAAGGGGGGGAGAGAGACTGGACATATTTCAGTATTAAATCATCGTATTCAAAAGGTTAAATCTTCGTGCTAATGGGACTTAGTTATTGTAATGAAGGGTTTAAATCACCTTACTCAAAGGATTAAGTCATCATAGTCAAGGGATTAAGTCATCGTACTCAAGGGATTAAGTCATCGTACTCAAGAAATGCCATTGTACTCAAAGGATTAAGTCATCGTACTCACGGAATTAAGTCATCTTTCTCAAGGTCTGAAGTCATCATACTCAAGGGTTTAAGTCACCGTATTCATGGGATTAAGTCACCGTACTCAAGGGAATAAGTCATCATACTCAAACCATTAAGTCATCGTACTCAAGGGTTTAATTCACTGTTACACAAATGTTTTAGTTCAGACACACACACACACACACACACACACACACACACACACACACACACACACAAGGTAATCATGAGTCTTGTATAATGAAGAAACACCTGACTTACAATGAAAAAAAAACCTCGACTGTCAAACACCTTCTAGGTAAGCGACAGAAGACGAATCAATTATTAATGGTTGATTAATCTTGGACAGAAATACTCCTGGTGACATTTCAGTGGTTAGATTCGCACCTTCTCCACCCTGCATTATAGAAGTGACCACACCTCCTGTTTGTAAGCTGTGTGAGTTAGGGGAAGGAAGAGGCGAGGGGCGAGGGGCGAGGGGCGGGGTGAGGGGGAGGGGGGAGGGAGGAGGGGGTTGCTGTAAAAAGATGTCTGTCAATCCGTCTGTGTGTCCGTCAAGTCATCCGTCTATCTGGTAAGTCATCCGTGGGTCCGTCAAGGCTTCCGTGCGTCAGTCCAACCATTCATACGTCCAAGCCATCAAAACGTCCATCAGATAATCTATGCGTCCGTCGATTCATCCACCAATCCAAGCGAATATTAGAGGTAGAGTCTCGCCCCTCGGCACTACACCGCGTCTTGTTGACCTCAGGTGTAACTACAGTAATCACTTCTTTACCATCATTACACTAAGGGAGTCAAGGCGTAGAGTCTTTGTTGCTCCTGTACGTGTGTGTGTGTGTGTGTGTGTGTGTGTGTGTGTGTGTGTGTGTGTGTGTGTGTGTGTGTGTGTGTGTGACGTCTGAAGAGGAATTTATTCAAGATGCGGACTTATTTTTTTTAATTATTTAATCTCTCTCTCTCTCTCTCTCTCTCTTCACCAAAACGGCGAATCACCAAAAATAAAAACATTTCCCCACAAGTTACAACAACACAGATAAACCTCCATCTTCTTCCTCCTCGTTCTTCTTTCTTCCTTACTCTTAATCTTTTACTACCACCTCCTACTACTCCTCCTCTGATCCTCTCCTGTATTTCTCTTTTACCCCTATTCCTCTCCCTACCTCCTCTCTCCTCCTCCATCTCCCCTACCTTCCTCCTCCTCCTCCCTCTTCTTATCCTCCTTACTCCCTCTAACCCACTTCTCCTTTTTCTTTCCCTCCCTGGCTCCACTTCTCTACCCACCCTCTACCCATCATCCCCACATACCCTTCTACCTCCCTTCCCTCCCTTCCCATTCTCATACTCCCATCAACCTCATATCCCTCCTTCCCCTCCTCTTTTTCTCTCCTCCCATAAATGTTCTCCACCCTCCTCCTCCTCCCATATCCCTCTCTCCCCCCTCCCCTAGGAGCCACATACAAACAAGCCGCACTACATAAAACTGCAACAAACTCAATCAGAAAACCCTAAAGACAAGACGTAAATCCAGTTTGTATTGATCTGTTTTCAAAGATGAAACTCTGATCCCTCCATCACATAAAATCGGAAATAAAACCGGAAATAAAAAACTCTCTCGTGACGTTTTTATTCAATGACAGTGGATCATTTGGTTCTGTCTGTCTGTCTGTCTGTCTGCCTGTCTATCTGTCTGCTTGACTGTGTCTGTCTGTCCTTATTTTGTTATTCTTAGAGGCAAAGCAAATCACTAATGTAAGAATTTATTTCTTCTTCTTCTTCTTCTTCTTCTTCTTCTTCTTCTTCTTCTTCTAATTATTATTATTATTAACATTATCATTACTATGTTCTTAATCTTTCTCTTTTATTTCATCAATTATTACTATTATCATTATTTCATTAATTATGTCAATAATTATCTCACCCCTGCAGTAAAGACACATAAACTCTAAGGGATTATCGCACCGGATTTCACTACGTCTCGTCCCTGATTTAATAATAATAATAATAATAATAATAATAATAATAATAATAATAATAATAATAATAATAATAATAATAATAATAATAATAATAATAATAATAATAATAATAACAACAACAATAATAATAATAAAACAACTCACTTTTTGAGAACAATTGAGAGAATGAGAGCAAAAAGGCACCACATTATTATAGATTAACACACACACATAATATCACACACACACACACACACACACACACACACTACCTCCCTCCCTCCCTTTGCCTCCTCCACCTCCTCCAACACGTAATAAGCACTCTACAATATTACCATCAGAGAATCATTAACAAAAACAACAAGACCGACTAACATACAGATAACGTGGTACAATATCAATGGCGGCGTTGTATAGGGACATGATGATACAATTAATACACCAAATACATTCATACAACAGATGGATTTATACACCGGGATGTAGTGTTAATGGAAGCCAGTATGCATATAGTTGCTAATAGGGACACGGGTTTGTGTGTGTGTGTGTGTGTGTGTGTGTGTGTATGTGTGTGTGTGTGTGTGTGTGTGTGTGTGTGTGTGTGTGTGTGTGTGTGTGTGTGTGTGTGTGTGTAGAGAGAGAGGATACGTGTTTATTTATATTTTATTAACATGTGTTGTACTATTACGTGATGATGATGATGATGATGATGATGATGATGATGATGATGATGATGATGATGATGGTGATGATGATGGTGATGATGATGATGATGATGATGATGATGATGATGATGATGATGGTGGTGATGATGATGATGATGATGATGATGATGACTATGACAGAAACACCCTGTCATATATAACTACCCCCCTCTCTCTCTCTCTCTCTCTCTCTCTCTCACTAACAACACCTTCTTTCTCCCCCCTGTACAGCTGCGGTGACCAACGAGATCCACAGTGGCGTGGGCATGAAGCCGGAGCCGCAGTTTGGGGAGGCCATTGATAACGTGACGGTGGCCGCAGGCAGGGAGGCAAGACTCTCCTGCATCGTCGACAACCTGGGAGATTTCAGGGTGAGTACTGAGGGAGGAAGGGGGGCTGAGGGAGGGAGGGAGGGAATGAGGGAGGGAAAGAGGGAATGAGGGAGGGAAAGAGGGAATGAGGGGAGGAGGAAAAAGAGAGAGACAGGACAGGCCAGACTCTCCTGCATCGTCGACAACCTGGGAAATGTCAGGGTGAGTACTGAAGGATGGAGGGACAGAGGAAGGAAGGAGGGAGAGAGGGGGGGGAAGGGGGTAATGAAGGAGGGAGGGAGGCTAGTGTGACCGTGTTTTTATCTCGTTAACACCAGTATTATTGACTTCGTTAACAGTACCTGTCCTTTAAGCTTTCCTTTGTTAACAGCGGCCGCTTTCTCGTTACCAACAGCAGCCTTATTTCCCTCTTTAACTTCTGCCGTAGTTTAACCTCTCCTTCGTTAACCCCGACCGTAGTTAAATCTCTTCCCCTGTGACCACCGACCGTAATTTAATCTTTTCCCTCGTTAACAGCGGCCCTAGTTGATGACTTTGTTCGCTAATAGTGACAGCATATCCCTCGTTAACAGCACCTACCCCCCCCCCCCTCCTCAGTAGCGATAGTTTAGTTGTCTGGTGTTGGCTAAATATAATATAAACATAGAGATGTTCAGTAAGGAAGGAGGTTAAGATTCCCTTCGTTAACAGCGACAACAATCCTCTCGTTAAGTGATCGTATTCCTCTCGTTAAGTGACCGTATTCCTCTCGTTAAATGACCGTATTTTCCTGCTTAACAACAGATGTCTCGACTCAGCGGGGAAATTGGAGCCTCGTGCCGGATAGCAGAGAAGGCCAGAGAAACTAAGACCCCTGGATATTATGCGGGTAGAGAGAGGACAGGAGAGAGAGAGAGAGAGAGAGAGAGAGAGAGAGAGAGCGAGAGAGAGAGAGAGAGAGAGAGAGAGAGAGAGAGAGAGAGAGAGAGAGAGAGAGAGAGAGAGAGAGAGAGAATGATAAATACATAATTCAACTCGCCATCCACAACATTGCCTCCCCATCTCTCCCCCAAACATCCCCATCACCCAACCCACTCCCCATTCCTCCCCACAACTCCAATTTCATCTAGCGCAAGATTTCTATGATGTTGATGGTAGTGTGGTGGTAGTGGTAGTCGTAGTGGTGGTTAATGGTGGTAGTAGTAGTAGTAGTTGTAGTAGTGGTGGTGTTGGTGGTGGTGGTAGTAGTAGTAGTAGTGGTGACTGTCATGGTTGGAGGCGAGTTTACTCCTTAACCCTCCCTCTACACACACACACACACACACACACAACCACACACACATTGCCCCCTCCGCCTTCCTTCCCTCCCTCTACACACACACTTCCCTCTTCCCTCTCCTCCCTCCCTCCGTCCCTCTCCCTACACACACTCCTCTCTCCCTCCCCTCCCCTCCCCTCCACACACACACACACTCGATCAATCTCAGGAGTTTTACAATTAATCATGGCCGATACTCCTGTTTGAGAGGGAAGTCGGGGCGTCGGTTTTATTAATCGAATGGACCGAAAAATTGGAAATTGTTTTTTTGTGGGGAGGAGTGACGGGGTGGGGTGGGGTGGGGGCTTGTAGGTGGGTGGGTGGGTGGGTGGGGGGTGGGAGGGGTGTGTAGGTGGGGTGGGTGGGTGTGTAGGGGTTGGGTGGGTGTGGGTGGGTAGGTGGGTGGCGGTGGGTGTGTGGGTGGTGGGTGGTGAAACATAGCTCCACACACTCCGGTGGTCTAGGATTACCAAATTCTGTATCTTTTCTTATTAATGGGATATGGATGTGGTGTGGGTGGGGAGGGATGGGTGTGGGTGGGAGACGGGGTGGGTGGGTGGGAGGATGGGTGGTGGGTGGGGAGGATGGGTAGTGGGTGGAAGGATGGGTGGTGTGGGTGGATGTGTGTGGTGTGAGGGGTGGGTGTTATGGTGGATGGGGTGTGTGTAGAGGTGGTAGGTAGGCGATGCGAGGAAGTAGGTGGGGTGATGGGGAGGTGGATGAGTCTTGTCGAGTACGATGGATGAATGAATGAGAGATGATGAAATAGTAGGAAGGAGGAGGAGGAAGATGAGAAGAAGGAGAGGAGGAGGAGGAGGGAGGAGGAGGAGGGAGGAGGAGGAGGAGGAGGAGGAGGAGGAGGAGGAGGAGGAGGAGGAGGGAGGAGGAGGAGGAGGGAGGAGGAGGAGGAGGAGGAGGAGGAGGAGGAGGAGGAGGAGGAGGCATTAGGCTGAGAAAGAAAAAAAAGAGAAAGGAATGGTGATGACCAACTAACTAAGGAGAAAGACCAGGATAAACACCTAACGAACGAGAGACGAGATTAATTAAACAACTAACGAGGGAGGCGATGATAACCAACCAAATAACGAGCGAACAAACTAACGAAAGAGACAATGATAGCCAACGAAAAGAAACAAACTCGAGAAACGACGATAACTAACTAACGAGAGAGAGAGAGAGAGAGAGAGAGAGAGAGAGAGAGAGAGAGAGAGAGAGAGAGAGAGAGAGAGAGAGAGAGAGAGAGAGAGAGAGAGAGAGAGGTTGGTAGGTGGGTTACAGAACAAATTAAGTTACTACCTGAAACTCATTAGCATATTTGCATAACCATTAAGGAACCTTTGTAGAAGTGTCCCGCTGGGTTTTTATTTGATGTAGTGGGGATAAATTACAATATTTTACTTCCTCTTCTTCTTCTTCTTCTTCTTCTTCTTGTAGTTTCATTTTGCTCTTCTTCTTTTTCTTCTTTTTCTCTTTGTTCTTTTTGTTGTTTTATTGTTTTCTTTTCCACTTTTTTTCTCTTTTTCTTGTATTGATTTCCTTCTTTTTTCACATTCTTCTTCTTCTTCTTCTTCTTCTTCTTCTTCTTTGGATGATCTTGTATATTTTGTTTCCCACCTCCTCCTTCTCCACCTCCTCCTCCTTCGTCTACCTCCTCCTCCTCCTCCTCATCCTCCTTCTCCTCCTCCTCCTCCTCCTCCTCCCTCCTCCTCCTCCTCCTCCTCCTCCCTCCTCCTCCTCCTCCTCCTCCTCCTCCTCCACCTCCTCCTCCTTTCTGTCTCCCTCCTCCTCCTCATCCTCCTTCTCCCCCCCTTCTCCACTTCCTCCCTCTCCTCTTCCTCCCTCTCCCCTCCTTCTCCTCCTCCTCGTGAATAAAATACAAAGTCTTCCCAGGAGGTAAAACTTAACAGGCGATGTTCTACTTATTAAATAAACCAGAATAACGATGATTCAAAACAAAACAATGATAACATGTAAATAAGTAAATAAACCGATAAACAAGTAAATACATAAATAAGTCAAGCAAGGAGTAATACACAAGTAGAGATAGATAAAGAATAAGATAATATAATACGAAAATAAACCAGAAATATGAAATAAACTGAAATAAATACGATGGTAAAATATAATATAATCACAATATATAATAAACGATGTAATGACAAAAATATAGGAAGAGGAAATAAAATAATCCATAAAATAGGATAATATAAATAAATTAAAATAGGAGAAAATTATATTCAACAAAATTACACAAAATAACGAATTATGTAAAACTAATAAAGAAAAGAATTACAACGGAAGACAAAATGAGTATTACACAAGAGAGAGAGAGAGAGAGAGAGAGAGAGAGAGAGAGAGAGAGAGAGAGAGAGAGAGAGACTTTCACATGATCATTTTCACTTAACGTTATGTAAATGTTCTCTCTCACTCTCTCTTGTGAAAATCCTGCCACACTATTTACGTGTTTTACCTCCCACCAACTTTCTACTTTACCTTAATGATATTTGCATTAGCAGTTGTATCTTTACCAGGCAGACAATGGCTCTCAAAGAAGAAAGAAAGTAATGTTTGCTTTCTTTTAATGTGGTGTTTATTAAGAGAGAGAGAGAGAGAGAGAGAGAGAGAGAGAGAGAGAGAGAGAGAGAGAGAGAGAGAGAGAGAGAGAGAGAGAGACATTAACACGATTCACACACAATCTCAGGTGTTATAATATGCTAATGACTAGAGTAATCCCTACTACCTGTAAGTTAAGATTACACGTAAATCCCTCCCTCCCTCCCTCCATCCAACATCCCTCGTTCCCTCCCTCCTTCCCTCTCCCCCTACACCCATCTCTGCCTCTCCCTCCCTCCCTCCCTCCCTCCCTACGCCACAGTGGTAGGCTGGACGGACAGACAGAGGTTGGTGTGGTCAACCTCTCGTTAATAGCTTCTTGCATTATATATCCGATGTACTTTTGTTGTGGTTGTGGTAAAGTTCCCCCTGTTGTTGTTGTTGTTGTTGTTGTTGGTGGTGGTGGTGGTGATGATGGTGGTGGTGGTGGTGATGATGGTGGTGGTGGTGTTGTTGTTGTTGTTGTTGTTGTTGTTGTTGTTGTTGTTGTTGTTGTTGTTGTTCGACTGTAGGGATCCACGACTTAATAATAATAATAATAATAATAATAATAATAATAATAATAATAATAATAATAATAATAATAATAATAATAATAATAATAATAATAATAATAATAATAATAATAATAATAATATGAATCTTGAAATTTGTTTTGCTAATCTGTCCTACATAAAAAGGAAAAAAAAATAAAGAAAATTAGTAGATAGGGAGAATAGCAGACAGACAAAGACAGACAGAGAGACAGACAGTTAGACAGACAGACAGACAGATACCTTCCCTATAATACTATCCTAAATGTTCTTAAATTGTCTTTTAGTCTTTGTACATTAAAAGCAAACAACAGTAACTTCACAGTATTATATAAGAAGTAAACGCAAAATTATCTTAATCTCGTAATGGACCAAGTAGTTGTCTCTCCGTGTGTGTTAGTGAGGTAATTCCCAGCTCGTTCGTAACCCAACAACCAGACGAATCTTGATCAATACTTATCACCAATAAAGCCCGAGGAAGTGGTGGAGTAATTTAGCGCCAGACTATCGTGTATACGCCAGGCGCCCGTTCTCCCGCGTGATATAGAAGTCGTCCCCAACTTTTAACCCATGCTTGAAGTAGCTTAAGTACAGCG